ATAGGAGAAGGGACATGATTTAGTGCAGATGTTAAAGCAGCTCGAATCATTTCTATATCTTCACTTCCTACCAATCTTGTTGCTCCTTGTGGTGGTAAATTGAGTTGATGCATCGCAAGTATTAACTCCCTCAATTGCTCTTCTATTTGTACCATTGCACTCTTCATTTCAGCAAGTTTTGCCATGATAACACTTAGAAAAGAAAAGATGTCTAATATCACTCAAGACAAATAGAAGAGAGGACTTGAGAACAAAGAAAATACTAATGACAATATCAATTTAGAAGAGGGTAATCTGCAACTTCTAATTTGCTTATGTCTTATCAAGAAAAAGAGGTAATCCACTCTTAATCAAGATTAGACAAAGCTCTGATATTGTAACAGTACTCTTGTCAATTTGTCAAGGACAAGAATATAATGAAGACAAATAAACAAGTGAGACTTCTCTCAAAGAAAGATGACAATATAGAAATAATTTAATATATATATTAAAAAAGAAACTGGAATGGCTATTGCCAAAAGCCAAGAAAACTAGAGACCCTTGAAACTAGACTAGAAGCAAGAAAGGAATTGACAAGAATGAAGAAGAATTCACTCTTGTCTCTATATATACTATCTAATTAAGAGCTATGTGGCGACGTTCTATAGGACCTCCAATATGTGTTGACTTTGTAGGACACATGCCTTGACTTACAAGGTAAGTTTTTTTTATGTATAGACCACATAGTTAGCTTGGTCTTCAAGCTAATAACATGTGTGGCACATGGCCAACTTGTTGACCACGTTTCTAATCTCAAAAAGTCAATTAAAGACACCTATAAAGTCAAAGCAACATCTATAAAGCTTTTAGAAAGCTTCTATACCAAATATTGTAGAATTAACTTACTTTTACTTACTTCTACTTATTTATACATGTAATTATTGGCTTACATGTATATGTCCGTGACATTTGCATATGCCTGCCATGTTTTATTTAACCAATGGTAGGAAGTCTTAGATAACTTAAAATTTGTTTAACATTGTATTTAGGACATCCATCCAGTTTAGTTCTTTTTACTTGATTTTTTAAAAAAAAATACTCTTAGGTAGTAAGTGCATGTACTTATATAAATATTTTTTAGAAATTAGATAAATTTATATCATCTATTTGGATAATAATATTTATCTATGAGGTAGTACTAAGTAGGTATTTTTTTTAACATAGTCGTTATTAGCCTCATAAAAAAATTCTCTTTAAAAAAATTATGTTTGCATATTTTAAATATTTTAAATTAAATTCTAAACTTTAAAAAAATTATGTAAATATTCTATTACATATTTGTTAAATTAATATATTAAAGAAAATATTTTAAAATTATTTAATTTAAGGAATAATTTTTTAATTCAATTTTTTTATATAACACTATATATATATATATATATATATATATGTATTTTAAAAGAATGATTTAATAAATATTTAATTCTTATTTTAATAATTTTTAATATATATACAAATATATATAATTATTTTTAAATAATTATATATATATTAAAGAATTATATATATATATATATATTAAATTTTATTAAAATATATTAAAATAATTATATTTTAATAAATAAAATAATTATATTTTAATAAATAAAATAATTATATTTTCTATTTTATCTTATGTTTACTTATTTTTTTAAAGCTTTATCTTATTATAATAAATACATTGAAAAACATGCATTCTTAAGATCTATGTTTCTAACTTATACTCAATTTATAATCAAGTTATGTTATGTTCATAATATCTAAGTATTTTCTTTAAATTATTGGAAGTTAGTTTATCTAATATACAACTAGTCTTATATGCATTATTATAAGAACACAACATTTTTACTAGCTTTTGATAATATAAAGATTTCAAGCTTTTTATTTATTTATTTATTGTTACAAGTAGAAATAGTATTAAAAGAAAAACACATTCTAAGTAGGAGTTTGTATTGACATAATTAAAAGAACACAAAAAACTAATGTAATTTATTAGAAGAAAATAATTATTTTTATAATAAATGTTGAATTTTTTTTTTTGGCTTTTCTAATACAAAATAATATATTTTTATAAGCTTTGAAAATATCTTGCAAATCAATGTGCATAGAAATAATACACTATTTTTTTCTTTAATAAATTATGATTCAATCAATTCTCAAAGAATTTTTAGCAAGTCTCAATTTATTTATTTTAAATTACTAAAAGTCTTTCTTCCAATACAGCATAATTAAATCAAACATAGATGGACTTTTGTCAACAAGATTTTTCATTGGATTCTTAAAATAGAAAAGTTTTTTTTAAAAGTACATAGATTTGCTATATAATAAAATTATATACATAACATGGTATATTTTATTGGCACACAACAAAATGTATTAGATAGAAATCCAAAACATCATTGGTTATTATAACTATAATAATTTATTAAAATAATAATAATACTAATGGTGACTAGATAATCAACAATTCAATGTTTTCTCCAAAAAACTATAACAAAGAATGGATAATCCAATAAGAAAAATACCAATGAAAAAGTACAAAATTCATTAGAAAGTACAACTTATATATAGAGAATGTAGAAAAAACAAGGTATTATTTTTGGAGAATACCAATTGAAAGAATAAAAAATGGACTTAAAAGTCATAGGCTCTACCTAAAGCTACCATCAAAAGTTGGCTTCTCCTAGTTGTAATAGAAGACTGTGTTTGTGGATAACTTTAAACCCGATGAAAGCAAATATCTATTGCCTCTAAAATTGAATCATGCCACTTCAACAACAAACAAACAAACAGAACAGAACAAATAAATAAATAAGTAAATAAATAGATAACTACTCTTTAATTCATTGTTTAACCGTAGATCCATTCAACATTTCTTTAAAAGCATTTCTACAACACATGTTCCTGATAAAACCCACAATCGACATGAATATATCAACGTTTGTCAGTGTGCCTTCCTGCAACGCATTTGTTTTCTGAATAAGGTACATTTTGCTGCACATTAAACCAATGGTGTTGATAGAGAGATAAAGGTGTACAAAGGCAGGAGGGGCTGGAGTATCAAAGCACTGCAACACGTGTGAGTGAGTGTAGTGCTTGGGTGCAGATGCTGGTTTCTGAGCCTCTTTATTGTTGCTTCAGCGGAATCTTTGTCGAAGTTTAAAGCTCCCGGTATCGGTGCTGTTGCTCTCAAGCTGCTGGGAGCAGTACCGAGAGAGCGCCATCATGGATGGTGTTGCTCTCCAGTAACGAGAATGGAGGGGGACGTTGGATCCTGGCTAAGGTAAGCAACGATGAATGCTGCAAACACGGTGTTGTTTTCAGCCTTGTTTCGATTCTGATGGAGGGAACATGAATACAACCAGGGGGCTCTTATGGAAGGATGTTACCAAGTTGCTTGATAACAGCAAGGATAAAGCTCGATGACTCAGGCTTTAGTTGATGCGGAGAACATGTTGTCGGTCGGACGTTGCAGTAGCTATTGCCAGCGATCATGCACACATCTGATCGAACACCTCATCTGACAACATCATCACCGCAAACTGCTCTCCCATGACCCAGTTTTGAGTTGAGCTGTGCGTGTTTCATCTCTAGTCTCAACGAAGACTTCTTGTGTTGGATATGGTGAGAGTAAGCGCTTCCTGTTGGTCTCATGAAGCTGAAATTATTATTTGTGAAGCGTGAAGTGGATTTTGTCTTTGATTTATTTACTTTTTGCTACACTATTGGTGATGTTGAACTTCTCGAATTGGGATAATAAAGTGGTATTGATAGTTTTTCGTGTATTCGTGTTGTTTGCTGTAGACCCTGGGTTTTATTCTATTCTGCGAAAGGACTTTGTTGACACGGAAAAGTGAGATTTTAGGGCAGAATAGTCTTTCATGCTCAGAGGTATCTCTTGTCAGTTTGATCGTTTGCAACTTGAGACGTTAAGAAAAATAACTGCAGTAAAGTTAACTTTTAACTTGAAGAATTGGCTTATTTTGAAGCTAGTCATTCTTGGTTCTGCAGTAACAAGTTAGCATATTCACACCAGAAGTGGTCTCTTGCGCAACCATGTGGCGACAAGTTTGCTAGACAGAGATTGGGTTTCATTCGAAGTGATCTACGAGAATTCCAAGTCGTAGAAATGTTGTTGACAGCCGTGAATGTGCTCACCTACTCACCTCCGTCGCCTGAGCCATTCCGAATTCGTGCGCTTCAGCAACCTTTAGCTTCACTCGGGTATAGATACCCGAAAGCTTCGCATCTCATGCACATTTGACATAAGCGTGTGAGGGAACTTGTCAAAGGAAGATTCGTTCTGCAGTTTCAGTGTGCGTGCCGAGTAGTGGGGTGAGGAAAGTGCTTGTCATAAATCCAACGTGGTGATCAATTCCTGAGAGCGGACGCTGTGGAATAGGATAGGAACTTGTCGGAGGGAGTGACCAGGACGGACGTGTTCAAAGCGTCAGTAAGCAATAATGCTCATGAACTTTACAGTTCCGATGAGCAGTGCTGCTGGTGGACAATCCAACCCAGTCGATGACGATTTGACTGTCTGCCAACCGCGATCAAGCAGCCCATCATTTCAGGTACCTTACTTTGGCTCGCATACGGGTCGACTGGAAAAATGCCAACTATAGTCTCAGCAATTCCCGGAGCGAATGGAGTCTATAAACACAGCCCCCAGCGCGATCGATTGCACATGAAGAATTAAAATAATAGTAAATGCAGAAAGTGACACTTAACACGTCTCAGAAACATTCCCTAGTAGCGAAGCTTCTTCACGCTTTGCATGGATTGAAGGCTCACGAAGCTGGTGTGGTGCCCACAGCCACCTTCTCTATTCCAGAAAGGCGGCACGGAGCCACATCACCGGCACCATTTCCAAGGGTGGCTTGTCGCATAAAGGCTAGTGTGCGGAAAATATGAGCTCCCATCACCACCATCGCTACCGAGAGCCATTAATAGATCGAGATGGTCCCCACTTGTCCCGATGGGCAGATCTGGCTCCGACTCATGGGCTTCGCAGTAAAGAGGAATGGACTTCCACCTTGAGGCCTCACAAGGTGGCGTGGCCCCGGCCACTCACCGACCTGGCCAACTCGTGTTGGAAAAAGCACCCTGGAGCCTCAAAGAGCGCAATCTGGCTTGATGATCCAATCCCGAATCTAGAGAATTCTCCAGTATCCAATATTCACTTCATCAAGTCGGATCACCGATTTCAGCTCATCAGCAGACAAACTCACTGCCGAAGAGAATGTTATGAGCTAGTGATGGTAGACTTTCTGGTGTGGGATTGTCGGAGGGTTCCTTCTGTGGGCCTGTCGGAGAGCTTTGCCGGAGCAGAGTGCTGGGGGGTTATTCAATCTCTGTGGTCGCCGCCTTCTCCTTGTAGATAGAGTTTGTTGGTTGTGTTTTTTTAGTTTGGGTCATGCATTTGGGTTGTTCGCAGAGGCATTGATGGGGATTAGAGGGACGTGGGAATAGGATTCGGAGAAGGCGAGGACATGGGTGGATGCAGGTTCAGGCTTAGGATTCAGGAGAACGAGAGCTTGTAGACGCTGGCGGTTGCTGTGGGGACATTTGGGGTCGCGTGCTGTGCTCAAGCTGAGCTTAAATGCGCTTCTTCATGGTTAGCGCCGTCTGTGATACGAGCGGAAGAGATTGATAACATCGTCTTGAAGGTGAGATGGGTTTCTGAATAGTTGCAGTTTGCAAAATTATGAACTCGAACTTAGCCAATTGATCAGATTGTTTCGCAGCACGTCTGTTCAGTTGTTGGTAAACTCAAACCAGGATTGGAATTGATGGGAATAGCATTTCGTATCACAAGTTGAATTCGAATCTACTGAAATGGACTCTGTCGTTGTCATGATGTGAGTCGGTTGTGGTTTACGTGATGGAGAGTAGAGAAATTCTTCGAAAGAAGTTATTTTGTGTGGATGAGTCAGAGAGCGTTGGCAATAAATAACTCATATTCTTTTACGGTTATCCATTGTTTCATGCTTAACCTGGCAACAAAATAAGAAAATCTCAAATAAGTAGCATTGGTGCACGATTCCGCAACAGCATTCAGGTGCCTGGTCATTCTTCGGCATTCAAGCAGGGTCTCCGAACTAGTTGTGTGCGAAGCTTAAACATGTCGAGAGAGATATGAAGTCCGGCAGTTACTGTTGATTGCGGACCCGCTTGCTAGGAATATGTTTGAGCTTAATTTTCCACAACTACGTATGGATCTTACGAGAACCTCACAATTGTACTCAGTTTATGATCTCACATCTCCAATTAAATTTCATGAACACTATGACCCGCAACGTAAAATTTGATAGTCGTCTGCAAAGTATGCTTTTAGATCTGGCTAATAATCAGTAGGAAATCTCATGGCGGGAACGTGAATTAGTGTCGCTAACCTTTAAAACTCCAGAGACACACGATTCAATGTAGATTTGCACATGGGGACAATGTCATTTTTAACTGCCACGACTTCTGAGATTTAAGTGATCATCCTGATGGCTTATTTCACTGAATTTTTCGACTGCAAAGGTGTGTTTCCGCATGTGGAACAGATGAGTTTGCATCGCTATATTTCTCCATGTATTTTCCACAACTATATTTGTGTCTCTGGAGACATTGGTGTTGCACTCTATGATCTCATGTAGTGATTTGTGTTTTCACTATGGGTGTGATTACATCAGTCATATGTTACAGTGCAGAAGAAAACTGCCTACGTACTAGCCTAATTGAATGGTGGCTAACGTTGGACGCTGTCCATTGCAGACGAAAATAGTTTGGAGTACAACACAGCACAATCGGCTTACACAAGGGAAACAATTTCAGAGGAGACATGGGGGCCTACAGTGACGAGTATGTGGTTGTGCGTAGGGGCAAGAAGCCCGAGGATCTAAGTGAGATAACTATCAATTGTCCCGACAAAGTGGGGCTTGGTTGTGACCTCGCCAGAATAGTATTCGAGTTCGGCCTAAGTGTCGAGAAAGGAGGTACATATTTGGGCTGTTTCATTAGCCTGGGTGCTTCTAGAAGAGATTGATGTTAAATCTTTACATATGCTTGGCTGATGTTGCGGAACATATGATGAATTAATCTTCTTAATCACATTCAAAGACAACATTCATAAAATCGAATGTAGTCAACATGGAAGGTGTTTAGTTTGCAATAAGCTAGTCATTTTACAAATGAACGTTATATTGTTAATTTTTATGGATAGATCCCACTACCTTACCAAGGTCTGTATGTGTCGCTTTGCAGATATGTCAATAGATGGACGCTGGTGTTTTGTAGTGCTGTGGGTGAAACCTAGAACAAGTCCTTCAACTTTGCGTTGGTCGCTGTTGAAGCAACGGTTGGAAGATGTCTGCCCATCCACCCTAGCTTCAATGTTACCTCCTGTATCCCCTCCTGTGCCCGAGTGCGAAAGGGTCCTGCTGCTGCAGGCCTGCTCTTCTGATCGGACAGGCCTACTCCATGGTATTACTCCATCGAATGTCCTGATATGGCGATGCTATTTGGTAGTTCACTGGATTTTATTCTGTAAATATGATAGCGGTCTGTGACATTTAGTTACATTCTCCTTTACTTTCATTCCGAAACGATGTTGTCTACATCTGTTTAATGTGCATTGGTTGGTTCCCCAGATGTTACTCAGAAATTGTGGGAGATGGAATTGACTATCAAAAAAATCAAAGTGTCAACCAGCCCAGATGGAAGAGCCATAGATTTGTTTTTCGTCACAGACAACAGGTTTCCTTCCCACACACGTACCAATTTAGCCCCCTTCAGACATAGATTGGATTTGTACCTTGTGTACATATTTTAATGTTTATCTTTAAGATTCAATCTGCGATTTCTAACCTTCACACTAATACGGACATTTTTCTTTCATTGTACGTTCGGTTCAGAAACCAAATGTCGTGCAAGAAAAGAGCCGAGGAAGTGACGAAGCAACTCAAAGAGTTTCTAGGGGAGTCATGCTCACATTGTGAGATTGGTCGTGCTAGTCCCGAGTGTGGGGACCTGACTTGTTCTGTCCTCCCCGACTCATTGACACGAGATATTTTTTATGATGATCCTTCAACTTTTGAAAAGGATTTAAACAAAGGTGGAAATCACGCCAACGGAGTCGTTGTAGCCTTCGACAACAATACCAGCCCTGTTCATAGTCTGCTTCAAATTATTTGTAAGAGCCGAAAGGGTTTATTATACGACTGTCTTCGTGCTGTGAAGGACCTTAACTTGAAGGTGATTGCTGGAATTTAACTAAAGCTTAGTTTTTGAAGGTCGCATTGAGGTTGATGCGTATCAAGAGTTTTTGGGTGTCCACTGCTTAGACACCTTCCCTCGTGTTGTTCATGTTGTTGATGATTGAGACGTTTTCTAGTGACCTGTCATCTTTTTGAAGGTTAATTGCCCAGTTATGAGGTGTTTGTATGGAGAATGATTTATTTTCACACATTCTTCACCACAGTCTAATGATGCGACTGGTTTTCTAATCTCTGCAGGTGGCTTATGGACGGATTGACATCTTGGACAACGGAAAATCTGAACTCAATTTGTTCTTGTTGAATTCGAAGCATCGAAAGGTTACTGACACGCAAGAGCAGAAAGTTCTGGCGCAGTATGTAAAAGAGGAAGTTGAGCATCCTGTGCGGATCAAGGTGGAGACTAGAGGTCCTGAAACCGAATTGCTTATCGCGACCCCTATTGAGAAATGTGGAAGAGGTCGACCTCGAGTATTGCATGATGCTACTCTAGCTCTGAAAATGCTAGACATCTGTATTTTCAAGGTAAATTACATATTTCTATTGTTCTCACTGTTATTATCCCTCTCTCTCTCGCTCTCTCTCTTCTCGCTCCTTACTATAACCTTCCACTCATGCGACAATCCACCACCCAAAAGTCTTGTAAGAAACAAGATAAGGACTGACCTTCATTCATTAGGTAAAGTGATCAAATTTCATCTGAAATCATTGAAATAACTAATTGAGTTTGAAATGAAAAAAGTTAAACTCTTGCCTGTTTCTCACTCGTGTTTTTATGTCGCTCCTTGATATGACATGCAATTCAAACTCTTACTGTGTTTCAGGCTGATATTGGGAGGCATGAATACAACGGCAAGCGTTGGGAAATCTATCAGTTTCTGCTTGTAGACAGAGGAGAGCCTTCTTTGACAAGTAGCAAGATGCGCAAGCTTATCGTGGACCAAGTTCGACACATACTGTTGGGCTAAAATGCCAAACAGTATCTGTCGAGCTTTTGGACCCCTCTGTCCACCTGCGGCCTGCATCAGAAAGTATAGTGCACTCTAATGACAGGAAACCTCTTTTTCAACATGGTGGGTACCTCTCAACGATAGCCAACTATATCCACTTGAGCGAGAGAGAGAGACTGGAAAGTGTAGCGTAATAAATTTTAGTCGGTGGAAAATTTAAAGAGTTTTCTATGTGCGGAGCCTAGCTACTCCGAATTGCCTCTCAGATCACCATCGGTTGTATCTGTTAAAAGTTAAAAGAGTACCCCCACAGTTCCTCAATAACCATATGATTGTTGTTTGTAGGATGTACTTTACTCATGGTTTTGCAGCCAAGGCTGCAAAATGATCATAGGGGACCTGGATAGGTTTCTGCACCCAGCACATCAAAAGCTGAGAAATGTTTAGCTAACTCCCAAGTTATGAAAGGAGCAAGGTGAAGACATGAATCTGGCGGTGCTTGTAGAAGAGTGTTTACGAGACTTCGGAAGAATGCATGAAACCTTGGAGTTATGATGTGTACTACCCAAAATCATTCATGAATAAATGTTATTTTGTGAAGGATTATAAAGTTTCTTTTTACATTAATATCTCATTTTATACTTGCATCATAAATTATAACGAAATCGCCTAGTTTCCAAATTTATTTAAATTCGTTGGTTCATTCATAGACATCACTACTATTTATATATGATATAATCATCTCTCTTATTGAAATGATTGAACATTTTTTTTTAATTTAAAATATTAGTTTGAAATAATTTTCAAGATGGTTTTATAATTTAATCATTTTCTATTTTAAAATCATTTTTTTTTCCAATTAGATTAACCAATTTCAATTGACATACTTAATGTATGAATGTAATATTTTTTAAAATGACAAATTTTTGTATAGAACTTGAAATAGTATAAACTCTTTAAAAAGTGAATATACAAAAATTAAATATTCTTCTAAACAGTGTTACTGTTTTTTCCTACAAATTATGGAATATGAGTAATAACTTGAAAAGTGAAACAAGAGAATAAATTATCTTTTTAACAACAAAATTGTAAAAATTAAATAGTAAGATTAAATGGCAAGATTAGATAGCACATTGTTGCATTCGATTTTCAATTTTACACATGCTTGGTGCATATTTCTTAGGAGATTTACCAAGTTCAAAATTCATCTAAATGTACTCCAAACCTCTAAGGCCTCAAATCATATCAAAAGATTTCTACTTTTATGGTTACAAATGATAGAATTAAAAAAATGGTGAATATCAACCAGTCAACAGCAAGCTTTTGAATGTCTTAAATGCACCAATGAAACATCTCCATACTGTTCCTTTTGTGAGAAAAGAGTCACTGATATATGACCTCTAAAGCCTGACAGACTCTACACTATTGTACTCTACACTACGCCTGCAAATCTGTAGCATGGTGATGGGAAAAACATGCTGTGCCATCACTAAAGTTTTCAATTCTGTTGTACACCTGGGCAAGGTTGTTGTCTATCTATATCCTTATCCAATAGACGACTAACGTAGAGGCCACTGTTTGTTTGTCAGGTTCAACTTAAACATCAGAAGGGAAAAATTTGCAGTACTGCTTTGTCTCCCACGCATGAAACAGAACTGTGTTGTTTCAGCAACTTCGTTTGGCACATTGGAACTGAAGATTTCTGGCACCAAAATATCTTGCCTGAAGAAAAGTTGCAAGGTACATTTTTGCTATATCATACAGTTCATAAAGAATCTAGAAGATCCCGTAGCCTTCCACAAGAAGCTACCTGATAAACGTCTTTTTTACGATAAATGTCCATTTGATTTGCTTCAGAGAATGGTCTGCAACGTCACCAGCCGCGGCGGCTCAGGTCGCTCACCTTTCAGTGGGCAAAGATAAAAATGGACTACTTACAAATCCCCTCAAGTGGTTAGAAGCTTTGGTATGTAACATGTATTTTCTCCCTGCGTCATCAACATAAAACGTCCATGATACTATTCGTAGCAAAGTCCTTTCATTGATAAAATTCATGGATTGTGCTTCATACAGCCCAAACTCCCTTTCGATATATCAGAGATGTGGGTGTATAGTCATACATTACACCAAATCATCCAAAGTAATGAAATTCCACCCAGGATGTTAATGATATTAACTCAAAATTGGATTTAATGTGGAGACTTGTATAAGCAAAGAATTTACAACAAATTTGTATATACACCTAAATACAACGTGAGAGTTATCTGCAGCATTGAAATCAAGACTATTACCTTGGTCGTAACTGGGACAAGCTATGAATATTGAAAGTCACTGTGGACTTTCTTTGTGCTAGGATGGCCAGCTTTCCCCCCTATTGATAATTTGGGGCGTCGCCGCTTCATGACAACTGCACAGTCGCTGCAGTACCACTTTCCTTTCGGTCTCTCCTTGATCCCCACACAGTCAAAGTGAAACCACTCGATTTTACACTGCAAGATTTCAATTTCAGATAAGCACTAGTATGTACCAACAGCAGATGCCTAAGAAAACCACATAGTACATGTCAGCAACGACTGCCAAGAACAACCACGGTTCCATGTGCTGAGAACTAAGTTAATCATACCCTGCCCTCCGTCAATTAAAACTAGATATACTTTTCACAGTTCAGACGATGTAAGCATATAAGACTTTATGTCACCCCGACACCAATTTCAGCAAACTAATAGTCTTGCTAAACAAACAGGAAACATAAAACTCTTACCTCAGAATTATCACAAGCAATCATCTCGCCATAAGAAACCTGTCCGCAATAGCAATATGTTGGTTCGTTTGGATCGACAGGGAGATCCAACTCTACATTGACGTTTGTAGGTATTGTCTGCCCTCCACCTCCTCCGCTGTACCTTAAAGAATATAAGGCCTCGATCTTGAGTTGCTATTTCCCATCTTTAATAAATCTGGCTCAACTAAAAACACTAACACACAAAAATACATGCAAAATGGTTTAGAATGAGCTCAATACCCAGCACCCTTCCTGCGACCGAATCTGGTTCCATCTCCTCCATCTCTTCCAAGCGTACCACCCACACCATCTAACCGCGGCTCTGCTGACAATAGACCTCCTCCAGCTGCCTCTCTATCTGCACACTCATGACACATTCGCACAATGTAAGGAATGACGAAAGCAATAACCAACCGAATTAGATTGGGAAAGATTCACATACCGTGTACTCTACAACGAGGAAGAAAACTGGGGAGGTCAACACCTAGAAAATGAAAGAAACGGAGTTTAAATAACTGACCTCTTCTTAGCTCCTCTTCAAACTTCTTCAAGTCTTTATCTAACCTTTGGATATGACCATCAACCTGCATGACGCATACTCATCCATTTGTGCCGTTCCAATCGACTAGCACTTCAGTCTCATTTCAGAGCAAAATATTCAGTAATCGAATCTTTCTTTATATCCAACTCCAAAAGCATGTGAATAATCATACTTACCAAATCATATGTCTGTACAGCTAGAAATACTTTCTCCTCAGCTACTGTGAGGCATGCCTTGTGAACATTAAGAACTTCGTTTGAATGCTGTAAAGCTACAGTATCAGGGGAAGCACTTCCAGATTCTTTGGCCTTTCTAACCTCCTCCAGCCCTTTCGCACATTGCACCTGCATGTGCTTCTGTAAAGCTGCATCATGACATCAAACTGTAAGTATCATGTGTTTTGTCTGACTATCTTAGAATCTGCAGGAGAGAGATGTTTAGTAGCTTATCATTTTCTAAATATACATACAACAAAAATCTAACTAAGACTTAAGAAATTATGTAGTACAACATAATAGTACTTGGTGAATAAGGCTCGAGCATGTGAATTAAAATAAGAAAAGTGTAAAGTGAGGTTAGATCTGTTTGTGAATCATTGGTCTCAAGGTGATGCTTTGACTACGTTAGAAGAAAGTAACCCTCAGTCCTCACCTTGAAATTTTTGATCTAGCTCCCGTAGTAGCTGATAGTTTTTTTGAAGCTCAGTTGGAAGTGTCTGCACACCTAGCCAACAGCATAAAAAATAGGACATATAAATTACTCAAGCTTAACACGCAAGCTGCAACACAAGGTGCATAAAATTATCAAATTAAAATCTGGAGATACGAAAAGGAATAATGAACTTCATTTTCAATATCGACCCGCTCCAGCAGGTGAGCAGATGTATGCAATTATAGTCGAAGTTACTACAACGATATGAATTTGTGTACATTTTAATATGACCAAAAATTATTACCAGAATAGATACGAACAAATTCGTACATAACAAAACGGTTTACCAGCCCTAACAGACTGCCAAAACTTTACGTAAAATCAAGACGCTTGTAAATGACAGCTAGTCACATGTGAAAAGTCATGTTCATTGGATTAGATCAGCTAGAAAATACGAAGACGGTTTCAATTATGATATTCTACACAGAGCTGCACGTCTAACTATAAAATATGCTGTCAGCTAATGCTTAAAACCCCAATTCAATGCAGAGTGAGATACATGTGCAGTATTTTTCTCATTGCAAGTGTCAAATTGATTAAGTACCACAGCTTAAAAATTCACAAACAATTGCTACAGTTTGAAAAGTTAGAAATTATACTCGAAATGTAATCTTCCAAGTAAGTCATGTTGGCGTCGAGTCCTCAACCTCGCTTTGCTGGATGCTAACGAGTCTCTTGCTGTTGGGCGCAGCAACGCCAGCAACTGATCCGTCCCTACCTGGTTAAATTTGCTCTTGCGAATCCGCTCAAACCTTACTAAGACAAGCAAGGAAACAGGTTCCACGACGCTTTACTCAGGGTTTCCACATAGCATCCACTATTACTCCATACAACTTCCAATTCCACAGAAGCAGAACACAATTGCCCAAATAACCCACTTCCAATCACTCGTCGATTCTTCACGTAGAAAACCCTAAAACAGCAAAAACAATTTCATGAGAAACTATCGAACTGCAGAAGTTGCACCCACCTTTCAAAACTGCGAAAAAAGGATCCACAAACCTCAGCAACCACTCACAATGCACCGAATCATCTCGCAACTTCTCCAAATCACCAGAATTACTAACCCTACCACCTTGTGCTGAACCCAGTCTGGAACCCTAATTTACTCCATATCCACTCCAAATGCTGCGAAACAGAGAACGACCCAATTCCGTTGAGTGCAATCGCAAGCCTGATTCGTACCGAGTTTGGCCAATTAAAGCAAACAGCGACCATCAACGAACACGACAAAGCTCGAGACGGAGGCGGTAACGCAGTTGGGAGAGCGTCATGAGCGAGTAGCAAGGTACCTGACGTCCTCGCGGCGCTGGGAGTAGGTACTGTTCGGGGTGCTGTGTGGAAGGTACCAGTCGCACAGGTAGGTCGAAAAACACTCAGTGAAGGACCAGGACATTGGGGCCTATTGAATCTTATTCCATTAAACAGATTATCACTTAATAACTTTACTTTTAAGCATAAATTTACTTTCAAAATGAGATTATTCTTAAATCTCATAGGTAGGTTTTTCGCTAAATTTTTTAGAAAATTACTATCTTATCACTCCTTTGACACCAAAAAATTCCTTTAAAAGTTAATTTTCAGATATTGGTTAGTTCTGCTTATCTCTGTCTGCGTGTCTGTATACACAATTCAAACAAACAAACAAATAAATAAACAATGTTTTGAAGATCAAAATATCTAAAGCTGAAAAAAGTATTTGAATAGAGTATTTTTATAAGATTACTTTTTTATTGGAACACTTGTGTACGTTTTCATTTGTTAATTTGTGTAAATAAGAAAAATATTTTTTTAGCATCAGAGAATATTTTATGAATGGGTTTATTATTAATTTTTTTTTAAAAAAAAAGGCCCTAGTTGTAAATTTCAAAACAAAACCAGTCGGTACTTCATTTTTTCTTTGTCTTTTTTTTCCTTTTTGTGAGTATTAATATTTGAACCAATGAGGATTTGCAAAATTTTGTTCCAGAAATTTTACATCCTACTAATGCTTACAAGGTAATACCAAAATTTAAATCTTTATTGTAGTACTAGCGGTTGGCGCTTGCTTTGCAACGCATTAGTCCAACCATTTTAATGTAGTTCTTATATTACAAAATAGTTTAAAAGGAAGGTAACAACAATCTATATATATAAATATGTCTTCATGACCTGAGCATGAATTTTAAGAATGTAATATAATAGAATAGAGTAATAAATTTTAGAAATAAAATGCATCTAAAGATGCATGCATTGGAAAATATCCATTCATTGAATAGTGAAATTCAAGATGTAACCTTCTTCAATTGAATGGTAAGTTGTCTCAATTGAGAAAACATAATTGAACACCAAAAGAATGCAATTGGATGGAAGGGGACGTCGCCAAAGCGTGCATGAACCCTAAACATGCAGAGTTTGAAACAAACTCTTAACTTTTCCATCCACCTGATTCAGGTGTAAATATTTATAGGAATTTATATGACAATGTCATGTAAAAACCTCATGATAAACAATGTTTTTAATCGTTCCCACGGCTTCATTGTTGTCATTGGCAACCTTAATGTTTGCAGGATGTCTACCACGAGACAATGCCACATATAATTGACCATGGCTAAATACTTCATTGCGAAGATAAATGCCAACTCGATCATATGATTGGCCCTGCGATTTGTTGATTGTCATGGCAAAAGCACTAGTGATAGGAAATTGTCTCCGGCAAAGTGTGAATGGCAAGCGGCTATCGTTGCAATGATGTGTGATTCTAGGAATCAATACCTCTTGGCTACGATAGCGTCCTTCTACAATTTCACATAACAACACACTGGAAGACACTTGCAAAAGACGCAAACGACTACCATTGCACAAACCTTTTGCCGGATTCAAGTTCCTTAGCAACATCAAATATTGGCCACATTTAAGACTTAATTGATGAGGAGGCAAACCGCTCAATTGTAAAGAATTCAAAAACTCTACTGGGTAATGATGGGCATGTTCATCATTCTCGTGAACAAAATCAGCACTAAAACATTGATGCACATCACCAGGTATACGATCGGTGATTTTTCGGTTGATTTCTTGGGCATCATCATTCCGGACAGCCAAAATGACGCGCTCAGAAAAATCAACCGGATCATCAAAAATAGCATCAATGAGACCATCTAAAGAATTTCCAGGAGCAACTAATCCTAGCGGTAAATCTACCTTTGGACCGGTTTTGCCCTCACCAATATCTAACAAAAATCGTTGAAAGTCCGATTGACTTTGCAAACGCATGTTAGTGGTCAAATGAAAATGTTGCATTAGTGGAAATAGGTATGAATTTCGCAAGCAAGCTTGAACAGTTTGCTTGCGACCTCCACGTACAACTACAGGCAAAGTTTGGCAAAAATCACCGCCATATAATACTACAACACCACCATTTGGACTATCTATATTGCGTATATCTCGCAATGATCTGTCTATAGCTTCAAACATAAAACGATGCCTAGCACAAGCTTCATCAAGTATAATCAATTGTACTTCACGTAAGCTTTGACCTAATGTAGACTGGGCACTAATGTTACAAATTGATGCATCGTGCAACTGTAAAGGAATAGCAAGAGCTGAATGTGTCGTTCGCCCTTCATTCAAAAGGCATGCGGCAATTCCACTTGTTGCCATTGCCATACACTTGACATTACGACCACGAAGATAACCCAATATGGTGTTATACAAAAAGGTCTTACCTGTACCACCAGGACCATCTAAAAAGAAAAGCCGATCTGGAGAATCAGAATTTAAAACGGCAGTGGTCACTGCATTAAAAACAATGTATTGTTCTTCGTTGAGCCTACCTACATCCTCCTCTAGAAAAGTAATGTTTTGGTTATCAAAATCAATATTGTCATTGGAATCACCGCCAACATCAACAATGTTTGAATAACCAAACTCATTCAATTCTTCAATATTAAAAAAATCTGTAAGATGTTTGTCTGATGATGACAAATATTCTTCAATGGAAAAAATTGCTTTGCAATAGCAATTTTGATCATTGCGCCAATCATCAGACATAGCATCAAGATGTGTCTTTAGTAAGCTAAGAGGATCTAGCGTTTGTCCAAACACAAGAAGTGTTGCAAACAACCGCCGAACTTGTTTAGGCAACACAATGACAGTTGCGTCTTGCAGACAATTTTTCCATTCAGAATCATCTTGTAAAAGTCCTCTTGCAATACAAGCGGCCTTGTACATTGGATGCACTATATCATGAAAACAAAGTAGGTCCTCAAATGAAGTTGGTGCCTCGACATGAGTCAACAACAAACGCAAGTAAAATACTTCGGTACCTATGGGAACCATGTTTATCCGACCAAAAACTTTTATCTTACGTACTCTTCTTTCCCACATGTTATTCTTCACATCCCACTTGTAATAGAGTGGAAGATCCATGTAACGAAGAAGCATATGGATGCCTTGATTGCCAGAAGCAATTAAGGCACGAATATGGCAATTAAGCTCAAAAAACTTGGTGAGTTTAGTCTCAGCATTTTGATCAATCACCGAGTCCAAAGATGTTCCTTCCTTAAAAGTAACATATTGCTGACCGGAAAGGTGAACAGGCAAACGACAAATACTATGGCTCTTATTATTAGTTTCAAAACCAAAGAGCCTCCAACATGCTTCTTGGGCGGCCACATAACGACCCTCCAAGAAATCCTTAATCTCATCTACCACTTCATCTGTTTCTACAACACCACGATCTGGACCTTTAAAAATATACTTGTAGAGGTATTTGACAGTTTTTACAAAACTGCAAATTTCCACATTAATGTGACAATTAAACTGACCTATCAAATATGGATTATATGGCACAACCCATCGATTGTCTAAACGGACAATTTGTCCACGTACACGTTTCTCGATATATCGACCTTGATTTTGACAACGGTACAAAACATGTCCGTCACCATCCACCTCGGTAGTATCTCGAGCTTGCATCGGATAGTTCTTTGTACATCTATCGTCTTCCATGCATGGACAATTGGGATTGTGCAAACCACATGGTCCATGCATCATGTGCTTGGCAACTGCGGCATACAATTGCGGTTGTCTATCTAAATCGGGAATCTCCGCACATACTATCCTATCTACAAGGTCACAGTCATTGACCTTATCTTTCAACCAAAGAAGAATGTGTGCATGAGGAAGACCACGTTTTTGAAACTCAATAGTGTAACAAAAAGCAATTGTCTCTCCCATGACATTCTTCTTCGTGATCTCATCCATCAATGCTCTTAACTTGAGCTCGAAAACACGCACAATAATATCTGGACGATCAGGAGGACTTTGACCTGGCTCAAGCTCATCAAGAATCTCAGACCAAGTCGGATTACATGTCATTGTCACAAACAAATCGGGTTTTCCTAAAACTCTAACCAAAACCATACTATCATGAAAGAGTTTTTGCATGTATCGGGGGGAACCAATGAATGTTGCAGGTAAGACAATGCGACGCCCAATGCGTGCTCCATTGTCTTCCTGCAAAGCATCTACGACCCCCTGATAGCACTCTGCACGAAGTTCAATTTGATGTTGCCTAATGAAAAGCAAATTTTCATGTTCTACACGTAAATACTGATCCACTACATATTGCTGGAATAATCTACCAGCCTTATGTAATACATTAGATTCTGGGCGCTTTTGAAGCAAATATTGGACATATGACTTTAAAGTCACTCCAGTATCTGCTTTAAAAGTTGGTGACCACCCACATCGCCCATCAGGAAACAACAAAGGATAGGATAAAGCATCGTAAGCTGGATGAATTTCTTTTATTCGTATTAAATCTCCACTACGTTGGTGAAGAATAATATCTCTACCAAAATTCATGTATTGTTCGTCAAGAACAACAGCAGCAACTTCTGGAACTACTTGGCGATTATATCGATGGGGATGTTCACCAAAAGGAACCTCACCGAAGATACGAAGTCCCATGTTTTGTCCCCTTTGAAGAACATCACGCGAAGACTTAAAACCACGAACCAACGCATTTATGGATTCTAAAACTTCTTGAATGTTGTTAACAACATCACGATGAAGATCATCAAAAATCTCCATACGACGATTTGTTTGTAAACCATCATCCAAGAAATAAATTTGTGCAAATCTAGCACCTTCGTCTAAATCGGGTTGTAAATTTCCAATGTGATGGCATAACTCTCCGTTCACACGAAAAGTATATACCCCTCTACCTTCAACTTAGCCAGACTGAAACTTACTACGCATACTTGTCAATGCAAAAGCTTGATTATACTTTTGAATGGATTTAAGGAACTCTCGAGATTTAGGTGTTGTGCCCATATAAAGCTCATTGAGCATTGGATGGACAATGGGGTGATTAACATGTTCATTGGCAATTTTGCCATTGTAACAACAAATGGTATTTTTTTCTTTTTTAAAATGAAAAGCCAAACATTTTGGACATTGGATGCACATTAATCCAACACTATCAACATTGACATCTACAAAATTATCAATGGTAGACAAAGCACGAGCCATTCTCTAGAAAGATGACAATATAATAAAAAAAGTGGAATTTAGGATAGGAGAATGAAGACCCTATCATAAATTCTAAACTCCACAAAGATAAAAAGATATATCAATAAATAGGATTTAGTGTAGGATAGAAGAAATCCTACCCTAAATCCTAAACTCCACAAAGATTGAAAAAATTGATAAGAAAAAGCAGAGTTTAATGTAGGATAACAAAAATCCTAACGTGAATCCCAAACCATTTCAAAACTCACAAAAGTAAGGTTTTTGATAGTACCTTTGTAAGCTTGTGCTCCAAGAAAGTTGCACCTTTTGATGAAATTTCACTCCACTCTAAAAAGTTTACGTTCAATGCACTACACTTCAAAGAAAAAAAATAGATTAGGTTGGCGCTTGCTTTGCAACACATTCGTAGCCAAGAGGTATTGATCTAACACACAAAAAACATGCATGAAAACAGATGTGATGAACATATTCTCAAGCCATACTCTACCTCCAAAGTTTAGACTCTAAATTTTTTTTTTTGAAGACACTTAAAAATGTCGATTTTTGAAAACTTTTGTCAGAAATCATTTTCTTTCCTAGTAAATGAAAATGCACCTAAAAAGTCCAAATCCGAAGTCGGAATTCAAAAATAATTAGTATTTTGGGAGATATTAATTCACTGTTAAATGAATTCTGCCCAAAATACAGTTTCATCCACAATGGATGAAAAATCATGCAGCGGATGAAAACCATGCAGTAGATGAAAAAATGCAATGGATGAAAAATCACACAGCAGATGAAAAATCGCAGCGGATGAAAAATTGTTGGGCAAAAAAAAAAGTTTTAAAAAGTTTTAAAAAAGTTAAAGTAAAAGTTTCGGCGATGTGCACATCACAAAAACAGCAGCTGCTCGTTTTTGAGTCCTTGATGTTTTTTGTTTGGTTTTTTGCAACTAAAACCACTAAATTTCAACTTGATTTGAAAGTTTAATGTTTGAAAACTTGATTTTATGATTACCCAAAATCAAAAATTACCAAAAATTTCAATCTTTCAAAACCTTTCAATCTTTCACAATCTTGCAAAAATTGCAATCTCACCTCAAATTTCTTGAACAATCTCCACAACTTGAACTTTGTAACTCCAACTCCAACTCCAACTTTGTATTCAAACCTCCAAGATCACATCAACCAATTCCAACTCCAACTTCACAACTTACAACTTCCAACTCACAATTTACAACTCAATCTTGAAGTGCACAATCCAAAAAATGTTTTGAACATCAAATTTGTAATCAAGAGCTTCAAAATTGTAATCAAGAGTTTCAAATTTGTTTTGGATAAGCTCAAATTGTAACACACACTTTGGATTGCACACACCCACAAACTCAACGTTCAAATTTCAAAACTGCGCAGTAATAAACGGAGCAGTCAACCATGTAGTCAACAAAAGTAAAAGTAAAAGTAAAAGTCACTGTAAATATAAAAGTGAAAGTCACAGTAAAGGTAAAAGTAAAAAGTCACAGTAAAAGGAAAACGAAAAGGAAAAGTATAGTTGACTTTTGATAGGGCTTATGATTTTAGTAGTATGATTGTAGTATTGCAGTATTGTATAAATGCTTATTAATGCATTTATTACATCTTAATGTAACATAGAAACATATTAAAACTTTATTGTAGTATCTTATAGATGCTTATTAATGTTTCTTTGTTATATTTAGATGTTACAATTTTAAAATGATTACAGACTAGTTACTTAAGTAAAAAATAAAATATGTCATTTTTAACATAATTAAATTAAATTAAAGATCATATTTATTAATTGTTCCCTTTTCTTTTAAAATTCTATATATATATATTTTTTATTTTATTCAATTTTTTCCTTATTTTAAAATTTTGGCAACTCCAAATAGATATTAGAAAGTAAGAGATTATCCCATACTAATTTAGAAATATCAACTCATTTTCCAACTCATTCAAAGATCCAAATACCATAAAATGCCGTAAGAAGGACAAACATTCAAAGATGCACTCAAAGATGTTTCGATCAAGTCACTGTGCATTCCACGAAATTCAAACTCATTTCACATGTGTATTCTTAAACTGCAGCTTGCAGCGACCTATATAAACTATATTTAGATCGTCCATTTGACAAAAGACATACATTATTACACAAATTCTACTAATAATGAACTTGGTGAATTCATGGACTGTTAACACATGTATGCTTGTGTCTGCATGTACGAGAGAGAATGAATGCAAATGTGCAAAACTGTCGCTGGTCGCTCTCCATGCAGAAAAAAGCTTAATGAACAACCACGCTGTCGTAAAAAGTAAAAGTATAATTCCGCACAACATTGAAACGAAGAAATCGCGCTGTCGGTGAGCATACAACCTCCGAGGGGACCCACAGACGGTGACAGGTGTGGATCATCGTCAGCTTCGAATCAGAAGGATCACCGTCTACCGTGGGGATCCAATCCCGTGGATCTCCCCTTAACCGTTAATAACGAGATCTTACGCGTCCGACGCTAGAATCTAGACACGGAGTCGCTAGCGTTGGATCTGGTGCGCTCCCACCTTCTTCCCGCACTGGGCCCCGCCTGAAGTTGTTATAAACATGTGTCAATGGCCCCTTTCCCGCATTGGGATGACACTGCAATGGGATGGTGATAGTGTCGTGGCAACTCACGATGCAGACAATCAGCATCAGGATTTGTGTTTAAACCATGGGACCAAATTTAGGAGAATTTCCTGACTGAGTAACGAAGCTGCTGGTCCTGGTCTGGTGATGGCTTGAGTGAGTGGCTCTGGAGGTGCTTTCGGAGAGATGGCGGCGTTTTCCTTGTGGGTGCACGTGGAGAATGTCGACCTCGTGTCGTATGTCGCACGAGGGGCATAGGTTTCTTCTGCAGGAGACTGTTGATCTCGAGTGCAGCGAGACGATGAGTCGAGGATGGGGAGTGTGCTTGACTGGGTGTTGCTTTTTGCGTGTCGAGTTGGTTCCAACATTGGATACGAAGGTGGATTAGCAGGTTAAGCGCATTGTCAGACGAGTTCTGTTCTCATGGTAGTGCAAAAGCTTGTTCTATCGCATGTCATGAGCGAGGTGATTGAATAGGGTTGCGCACAACCGCAACGATTTGACGACACAGTTCAACATCAGATGTGATCGAATGCAAGCCAGTGTGAAAGTGGTGAAGGAATCGAAAAAAGTTTGTGGATTGACAATGAAGTGGTTACCATTATTTTACTCATTTACGGCGTGTGTGAAGAGGATGTCACGTGTGTGCACCTCCACTAGCTGTACCCATTACAAGATCAATCGCGCACCGACAGATTGATCAATCGAAGCCTAACCAAAGGGATAAAAATTCTGACTGTCTTCCGTCGTACGTACTATACAACTCGAGGACCGTGACATGTTTACGCAGTCGCTGTAAAGCACCTCATTCTACAGCGACAGCAATCAGCCCAAAGAATGAAGAATTCACATCAGTACGGTGCTCACCACCTATTCCTCTACTTCGCAGAGCACCGATAATATGTTCAACATGCAAGAGAAAATGACGAAGAAACTACACGTTCTTTGGGGATGCTCACAGAAAGAGGATCATGGAGCACATTACCACCACCACGAGAGTTACCACAGTGGAGGTGAGCATTGAAGCGGCGGCAGTGATGGGAAAGCCCTCTGGCATCGTGCATTCCTCTCCATTGAAGTAGATCTTCGTTGGGAAGAAATCCGCTTCGCGAATATTTGGAGTGGTTTTCTTTGTGAAGGAGAAGACGGACTGCAGCTTTCCTGCCGACAGGTTAGTGGCAGCCATTAAGTAGTTGAGCCCCTCAAGTCCCGTCACGAGGAGGCTCGTGTTGGGCGCAGTGTCGTTCGTCGGCGGCATTGCGGTTGCATTGAAGGAGTACGCCTTCTCGAAACCTAGGTATGCATTCGGCATCTCCACAACGGTGTACCAGTCCGCATAGGTTTTGTTGGACCAGTCGAAAAGCGTCATGCGAGAGCTCCACCCCCCGGTGTAATTCGACACAATGTGCCAATTGATGGCCACGCCGCAGTAGTCCATGCAAGGGAGCGGGTTGGGGGGCACCTTGTGATTCATCTCTGCCCATGCAAGGATCTCAGGAGTTCGATTCAACGGGGGCGTGGTGATGGCGCTGTAAGGAAGGAGCATGGAGGAAGCGCTGGCGTCACACACTGGATTAATTTTTTTGGGGCATCCGCAAGCGCAGGTCCGACAAGGAACGATGGACTCATTTGTGTACTTCGAGAATGAAACACAGCACATCCGAGGCCGTTTGACTGCAGTTTCATTGCACGTAACCTGCCAAGACAAACCAAAATTTCTACCCAATCAATCTCTCAAGCTAAGATAATCATTAAGCTCTACAACTTCTTACTACACCCACACACAGAATTTGGGACGGTCAACTACGAAGATGAATCTGCACCTGCCATGTCTTGAAAGCGGATGTATCATGGCTCAAGTAGGGATCGGGGAAGATGGTTGGCTCAATCCGGCGAGGTTTGCCACACTGGAACCTCCCATCACCTAGCCTCCAGTTTCCCGGGGGCGTGATGCTGTTAATCTTGCTGCTCTGTGGTGGAAGCTTCATCACGTCCAACATAAATGCAGACTTGGATTTCTCTGGATCTAGAACTGCAGGCCAGAGGGTGCCATTCCGACAGCAGTATGTGATGCCGCCAACCTGGGTGTCATTTATTCTACCGAGGGGAAGATCTATGATCTCGGGGCTCCTCGAGCAGGAGAGAGCCTTGTTAAGGTCCATTTGCTGGTAAGTTTTCGCTGCAAGCCCATTCAAACAGACATCCAGGTCAGCTGCGCGCGTCGTGGCGCCCAACATCTTTGTGATGAATTCGTTCTCTTGCCATGTCCAGGAGAGGTTCCAATTCTCTAGACGCGTCCATGGGCTGTCGTTGGAAATCGTCACCTGCATTAGCTCACTCCAATGCGGATGTTTTAGGTATAGGCGCTGCGCAAGCTTTCATAGTGACTCAATCAGAAGATTGAATTCAAGTGATTAGAATACCACGAAAAGAGTGAGTCACTCACAAGTGCCAAGTAGCTGCCTGGATAAGCTTGTGTGACATCATAAGTGATTGTGAAATTCCCTTTCTCAGGAGGCAGGTACATTTCCTCGTCAGTCAGGGTGACATTGCGATTCGGCTCCGAGCAGCAAGTGTGCATTGTAGTATCTGCACCGATAATCGCCCAATCCATGACTTCTGACATGAGTACAATTGCAAAGCTAGCGACAATTCTTTAATAAATCCTTCAGCTTCTAAAAATCTGGAGGAAGTGCAAGTCTGAAGATTTTTATCAGTCATAAGACTTACTGAAGAAGGTTTCTGCAATGCTGCAGTTGTAGCCCTTCTGCGTTATGTTAATATTCTTCGGCATGGAGAACTTATTCTGGCCGAACTCAGTACCCGTTATGACAAAGGTTTTCCGAATCTGACCGAAGTCTCCAGCAGTCTCAATGGCATTCTTCAATATTCCCGCAGGAACTTGGGTGAGAATGGTGCCATTAGAGACATCAACAGGCATGAGGCGCCCGTCCTCCAAGTGCATATCATCGGCGGCGACAAGAATCTGTTCAATTTTTTGAGTCCATTTAGAGAACGTCCAAAAAAACAATTCCTGTGCAGCTTATAATTTTAAGAGCGGCCGAGGCCTTTCATTTTCTACTACTACTCCTCACCACGTTCGAGTGTGTTTCATACCTCATTGTTGGAGAAATTCATGCCGATCGCCCACCCCTCCACCGTGGAGTACCCCATGTTTGTAACCGTCACGATGGAACTGAACTTGTATGGTTGCAGCCAAGGGGTGTCGTTAAGGAAAGGATAGATCTTCTCCACGAGCGTATTTTGGTACACGACATCCACCCCGTCGCAAGGGGGCCATAGAGGTGCGGGCTCCGGTGCTGGTGCGAAATCCAGTGGCGCGGGAGCTGGGACTGGCGTCGGAGCAGGCCCTCCGACTACTGGCGGCCCTATTGGTGCTTGTCCATCGACCGACACAACCATCACGAAGAGAACGATCAGGAGCACCCCGACCCCGACCTTGCACCCTCCCATGGCTACCATAGGAAACCAGCCAAGTGAACCTCTCGCCAATCTGCTCAATCCAAACGATATAACTCACCGCCTCGTCCCCCGCAACGCCAGGGGGGAGACAACACAAGCTTCCACAGCAATAAGAATTATCCAAATTGTAAGAAACTAGAAAATTGGGCGTCTACTCCCTTCACATCACACTCCTGAACATTACATGACTTCTACGACAGGAGATAGAGAAGGTTGAGCACTCGCACCGACTGCGGAGGATGATTTTGTGGAGCCTGGGAAACGATAATTATTCAATCTGCCCACACGATCTTCCACTCACCCTAGGGCCTACACTGTCTCGATGAAGAGCGTTCCCTTTTCCGGAATGGATCTCACCCAACTATCCTGCAAAGAGGCTAGCGCGAGACCAGTGCCACCATCTAATGACCCCAACAATTGCGAACGAGAATACGATCAAGGACAGATGAGTGTGTGTAAATCCGTCAACGTATACGACTGGGCAGGTGGCTGGGTAAGAAACCTCAGATTGGATGTGTGTCGGTGTGTCTGAGTGTGTGCGTGTGAGTGTGTGTCTGGCTCACCACCAGCTACTTGTCTTAACTCGGCCTCTAATTCAAAAATAAAAAATAAAAACAGTAGGCAAATACCCTCGACGTGAGTACCATTGCCCCGTTAGATGATTGCAGGAACTTGCAATAAATGCTTCCTGAAGGTACAGCGATGACAGGCTGACGATTATCGACGTTGAACCCGTCATTTCGTGTGCATCCTTTAAAGCATTACTAACAGGTCTACGTGCTTTTTAGTAAATGCTTGTCCTGGTCGCGCATTTCGTGGACACCCTCGTGAGGGGTTAGCTCACAGCCAAGCTCCACCCCCAACCGCAACCGCCCAACAAAACCAGTTCTCAAGGCTGAGCAGCTCCTCCGTGGTAAGTCTCCCTCAAACAGAGAAAAGTAGATAATAATTCTTCTGCTATCGCACTGGAACTGTGTTTTTTCATGGGTGGCGAGATTTATTTTAAGACAATGCGTACTGACCACCGGAGGAGCAAAATAACGCAGTTTGGCGCTTGGTCGATGATGATACATGTGATGTTGATTGACTACGTGAGAATCATGTGAGAATATCTGCCATCTCTCATTCATCTTAAATACCTCGGAGTTTTCAATGCGGAAGATTCCCGCAATTTTTTTAATTAGCCCCCCTTTTAATCACCCTCGCTAAAATTTATCACTAGTTAAGCCCATCCCCTATTCCACCATTATTTGTTTCCCTAGGGCACTATAGAAACACGCGACCTTTTGACTGCAGCGTTATGTGTGCTGCTCTGACCTTTCACCTTTCAACTTCTCGGCTGCAATAATTCAACACATTGAGCTCAAGGACTGGACCCTTGTCCTGCTCCAGTGAATAATTTACCGCGAGCATTGTCAATCTCCAGTGATCTCGTGTGCCGAGGTTTGAAATTGGGACTAAACCCAGCTCACGGTTCTCAAGACAGAAACCCGAGATCCATTAAAGTATCACAGGAACCGTAAACATGTGTAGCAGCACCACCCATTTGGCAATTCAACCGTTCCTAAAAAAGAAACCACAGAATAACTTACACAGCTTCCGCTGAGTTTCAAAGTTCATCAACCCCCCTTTCAATCAACTGGGGGTGCCGGTGAGTGGCATGCTATCCTTGCCTTGACTTTCCTCACCAGACATCCTCGCCAATCACAGCCACTGTCGAAGTTGATGGTGTTGCCAATGAAATTATTTTCTAAAAAATACAAACTACCAAAAATATACAAACAAAAACAAATAAATTTGTCTATTCTTAGACCTCATTCCAACGTTCACTGGAAACAAACTCCTTGTGAAACAACTAGTCAAACGCTGCAACAGAATATCGCTTTTCATTCTATATATATATAGTTGAATCTCGTATTCTTTGCTGGACTGCACTGGCCAGGCATGCACGGAGCCTTCACGCAACTGGAGCTCTGATATTTAAACACAAGGCTCTGATCTGATTTCCCCCATCACCTGCTCAATCTCTCTCTCTCGCACTCACTCACTCACACACTCGCACAAACTATAATTATCCCGGCGGCGTCAAAATTGTGACCCGAATGTGCTGCCGAACGAAGGATTCATGCTGTTCGAGGGGAGGCAACGGTGGTGGCATGAGCTGGGGTGCATAACCCACAGCGCTGAACCAGGCATCCAGAAACAGCGACTTCTTCGATCAGGCTCTTCTCTACCGTCAAGTCTCTCTCGAGACCGATCTAGTATAGAAAAAGTGAGAGTTGGGAAGACAAAACCACGCCGGGAATTCGTTCGAATATTCTACTGGGTTGGAAATAGCACTCCCACCCCACCTCCACTCCTCCTTTTATTATTATTATTATTGTTAAAAATGTAGTGCTTGCTTTGCAAGTCAGTCAAAGAGTCAGTCAATCAACGAATAGGATTAAGAGTCCGTCTCCATCCCTTTGATTTTTTCCAACTTGCTCTATTGCTCTTCTTGTTTTGCTTCGCTTTGTTTACTTCTTTTTCTGTGTGTGTGTGTGTATGTGTGTATGTGTGTGTGTATGTGTGTGTATTTTTATTTTTATTTTTATTATTTTTTAATTTATTGAGTGGAGCATTATTGATGTTACCTTTTGACCGTTCTTTCAAATGGGTGATTGTTTATTAGGCAATGTTGATTGTGGGTGCAAGGTTGATTGTTCAAGAATTCAATTTTTCTTCTCCTTTATTTAAAAAATTTATTTGAAGATAAAATAGAAATATAGTTTCTATATATATATTGTTTTGTTCGTTGAGGGTCTTCTTTAGATTTCATTAGAGCGCATAGATCCTTGTCCTCTATTTTCTTTTTTTCTTTTTCTTTTTTGGTTTCAAAAACACAAAACCTCACTTTTTTTTTTAGAGTGAAATAGTCATCATAATATTTTCATCATGTTTTTTTCTTATTTGGAGCCACTTGCACACTATAGTCGGAATTATTAAAATAATAATAATAATAATAATAATTTAATTAACTACAGAATACATTTGATTTTGTTTTGCTAAGCTATTTCATTCAATTGCAACTTCTTCATCCAAGCAACTTTTTAGTTAGGAAACCTGTATTTAGAATAACACTTTATAAAACACTGTAGTAATTATATTGTTTCATAAATTTTTAAAAATTACACAATTGTAAATCCATTTTTTTCAGTGAAATGATTGATAACTATATTGATACTTTGTTATCTTCACTGATGTTACTTGTTTCATTACTTTACATGTAAACAAGAGAGATAAATATATATATATATATATATATATATATTTGATAAGTTTTTCAATTTTGTCTTTTCTACCATTTGTTTGTGTTTAATATCTGTTCATAATTATATATGTAAATAGAATGACTATAAACAATGTGACTGCATCACTATCTTTATTCTTTTTCTTTTCTTTTCTTTTTATTATTTTTTATACATGAATACTTGCAAAAGAAAGATTGAAGCAATAGTTATGTTAATTGAATCAACTCACACATGTTTTTGATTTTGAATGGTATTTAAAACTTGATATTATGTGCATTTAAAGTAATAAAAATATAAAAAATGAATTTTATTTATTTATTATTTGTAGTTTGAAAAATAATATTTATTTTCTTAAAAAAAATTAAAGAAAATTTTATGATATTAAAATTAAGGTATTACTAATGTCATCTCAATTTATGCTACTGTGACCATAATCCATCATCTATTTGGCATAATTTTGTAGTTTTTAAAAGCACAATCACAAATAAAATATTTTAATAAATCATACACACATTGTCATATTAGAAAATAGCATAATATGTAAAAATAAATTGAAATTTTATTAGAGTTCGGATTATAATTAAAAATAAAATAAAATAAAATGCTCATCTAATTTATTTAAGTTTGTAATTTAAATTTGTAATTTAAGTTTTTTAATTAAGGATAGAAGTTGTAGGATTTATTAGTAAGGAGTTTAGAGGGGCTTTCGAGTCAAAAATATAATATTTTGACTCATAGACCATTCCATGTGGGTAGATAAGGTGAGTGATTGAGGACTTCATTTCCATTAATTGAAAGTCATGGCCAATAGGCATTGAGATGTTGAAGACTACACTAGAGTTTGAGTCCACTTGAGGGTGACCCATTTGAGACAAGGCAATCCATTCAAGGCAAGATGATATATTGGAAGTTTAGAGGTTGGATTCACAAAGCTTGTGTTTCATACTAGAAATTGGATGAAAAAAATATGTGATTAGGATTTTGGGTGGAAGAAATATGGTTATTTGAAGTTAGGGTGTGAATTTGGTACCTACTATTTTTCTTTTTAGCATACAAAGAGTTTTAGGAAGGAATTCAGTAATTGAAAGGTAATATTCGAAAGCTAACTTGAAGAGCTAAATTTTATGTTGAGGGATTGATAATTTCCGATTTGGAATGAAAGAGAGCGAGTTATTGAAGTCTATTCTTCAAAACTAGAATTTGTAAGTGAATTCTTTTCATAGAGATTTTGATTTGGGCCATATCTTAAGTTCTTGGATGAATTTTTGACTCAAAATTTCCATAAGTATAGATTACTATATTAAAAAAATGTATATGAAAAATTCATGATATTTGAGAATTGATTTTTTGAAATATGATGGATTTAGTGTGCACATGCCTAGAAATTGACATGTTTAGCACCTACTATAAATTAGGTGATATCCAAAGATCTGTAATGGATTTATAGTTGATTTCTTTTGTAAAAAGTAGTTAAAGATATAAGATAACTTGTAGAGAAGTTTGAATCCAATTAAACAGATAGATTCAAAGTTATATGATAATATATATTCAGAAGGGATTTCCATAAGAATAGAAGTGGTTTTAGGATATTTAGGCACATCTTGGGAATTCTTGTGCATTCTAGACTTGTGTTTTTGATGTAAATGTCTTCATGAGAACAAGTTATAAATAAAATTTATGTTTTTATTAACTTGCAACTTGTTTGAGCAATTAATGGCAGCCAAAGGTCCAACACTTTCTTGAGGCAAACTTTCTCTACTACGACAACAAGTGTATGTGTGCTATTCATTCAAAACATTTCTAAGAATAGTTGCAATAATTCATTCTTTTAATTTTATGAAATTTTTAAATATAGTGATTGAAAATTTAAAACTAAATGCAAAACCATCTATTATTACAATAATATAATTATATAATACTTTTTCATATCTTTTGAAACACATAATCATTTTTTAAATATTTATATTTATATTTACTATAACAAAAGTAATATCATGATTTCATGGTTTTTTTAATAGAATAAAATCAAAATTCGGCATATACAAATTAAGTGTATACTTAATTTTATGCTTTCCAATTCAATTTTAAGTGTCTTCAGTCTGTTCCAGGATGATCCAATGTGTTGAATTGTGTTGTGAAACACAAGTTCAACAACAAGTCTTGCAAACGTTTTAATTTTGTTATTCTGATTTTAAATTTGTTTAAAAGTCTCCTCTATAAACATACAATCTTGAGCACTTGCTCTTTCACCTTTTTATTTTACTCTAAATTAAATTTAACTTAATTTTTTTGTTTCTTTTTATTCTTGACTTTGTCGTGACTTGCAACGAACTCTGAACAAAAAAAAAAAAAAAAAAAAAAAAAAACCTTTCTTGGAGTTGACGAGTGTCCGAAATCAGTCTGCCCCTTTCAATAACAAAAATATCCCCTGCCCGTTCTGGGCAACTGCCCCCCCCCCTCCTGCCCAGAAGAGAATGCTCTGAGGTGGCAGAAAATAGAATCTCGAGATTCCGAGGGCTGAATTCCGAGCAGCCATGTTGTAGTTAACGGGGATTGAGAATAGAGAAATAAGCGCGCGAATGTCTGACGTGGATGCCTGGAATCAGCACCCAAACCAGGTCAGTGCGGTCCTATAAAACGTGTCATATTTCTATTGACCAGACAGAAT